CTTCCCTTATTATTGTCTCCATAAGTGACAAAACCTTTGGCCTTTAGCGCTAGATGTGAAAAATTGGTTTATGTCTCCTGTCATATTCTTTGAACAACCACTATCAAGATACCAAAGATTGCATGTGGTCTTCAAGCATACCTGCAAAACAAATTAGGTTTTGTTAGGTACCCAAGTTGCTTTGGGTCCTTCATAATTAGTGCATTTCTTTACCCATGCATAATTCCCACTTGCCACACTGAAGTTTCTAACATAGCAAGCATTAGGTGTATGGCCTTTAATACCACAATAAAAACAAGTAGGTTCAAAGTTACTTCTATATCTAGAAGGATAAGATTTCTTCTTAGAAAATGTTTTCTTTTTCGGATAGTGACGAACTATTTTAGGTTTGTTCACTTTCTCTTTGGAAGATTGATCACTTGCCTTAACAAAGATAGCTTTATTAGAACTTGGTTTTGAAAACTTTGAATATCCAAGTCCACTTTTATCATTGGAGTATCTTTGTTGGCTAAGAACACCTTCCAATCCAATTTGCCCTTTTTCATATCTTTCAATGACTCTTTTTAATTGGACAATTTGGAAAGAGAGTGAATCACAATTTTTGCATACAAAATTTTGTTTTTGTTCATCACTTAATTTTTGTTTTTCTTCTTTGAAATCTTTTTCCATTGAAACATATTTTTCTTCTAAGGATGAAATTTGTTTCTTTTGTGATAAAATAGTTTTATACAGAATTTTACATTCATTCAATAGTTCATCTAAAGCACCTTGTGCGTCACTATCAAAAAGAGAAAATTCATTACTAACCTCATTGTCTTCATCATCGGAATGGTGTGAGGCTATCAATGCTAGATTTGCACTTTCATCACTATCGGAATCGGATGAGGAACTTATTTCATTGTCCTCCCATGCGACATAAGCCTTTTTGTTCTTGAATCCCTTCTTGCTTTTGAATCCACCTTTCTTGGAGAGTTTTGGACAATCCTACTTGATATGACCTTGCTTACCACATTCATAACATGTGATTTCTTGTGTTGATGTGGAGCCTTCCTTTTTCTGAAAATGTTTCTTTTATTTTGAATGAGAAAAAGGTTTGTCATTTCTACCGAAGAACTTACCAAGCCTTTTAACAAGAAGCATGAAGTTTTCATCTTCTTCTGGATTGTTTTCCTTTTCAACTTCCTTGGAGTCTATCTTCAAAGCAATATTCTTGAATTTCTTCTCTTGATTTTCATGCTTTTCGAGTCTTCCGAGTTCCATTTCGTATTCTTGAAGTTTTCCAAATAATGTTGCGGATGTCATGTTGGATAGACTTTTCTTTTCTGAAATTGCCGTTACCTTTGGTTGCCATTCCCTAGTTAAGGACCAAAGTACTTTTAGATTCAATTCATCATTTGTCAAAGTTTTACCAAGAGCACTTAGATGATTTGTCAAGTGCACAAATCTCTTTTGTAAGTCAAGAATGGTTTCTCCGGGCTGCATTCGAAATAATTCGTATTCTTGACTTAGGGTATTTAGTCTTGAACTTTTTACTTCAACCGTTCCTTCATGAGTTTATACCAAGGTATCCCATATTTCTTTTGCTGTTTTGCATGCCGAGACACGGAAGAATTCGTGCATGCTAAGTGCACCTTGAAGAAGGTTTATTGCCTTTTTGTCATAGAGAACTTTCTTCTTATCATCATCGTCCCATGCAGTCTTAGGCTTTGATGAGCCAACACCATTGATTACCGTTATCGGGATAAATGGACCATTTTCGACGACATCCCATATTTCTTCTCCTTGTGTTTCTAGATGCGCCTTCATGCGTATTTTCCAGAAGTCAAAATATTCACCACAAAATAGAGGAGGCTTGTTGTTACTACCACTATCTCTGAAAACAAGATTATAATTTGCGGAAGCCATTCTGAATCTTTTAGGAGCAGGTTACCTATAACCTGCTCTGATACCAATTGTAAGTACGAAGTGCGCCTAAGAGGGGGGTGAATTAGGTACTTTAAAAATTCTGGTTTTTAGTGATGATGGTTCTTATTTTTCAGGTTATAAGTGAGTTTAGGAAAGCTTAAAAATGTAGAAAAATAAAGAGACACAGGCGATATATCCTGGTTCCCCTCATGGTCCGAGAGTACTCCAGTCCCCTTTCAACATGAAAGAGATTTCCTTATTGTCGCAAACTTAAACAAGAACTACCAACCAAACCAAGAACAATCCTCTTGGATTTTCACTAAGTTACCTATGAGAACAATCCTCTCAATGTAACTACACTTGTATCCAACAACTTGAAAAGACAAGATTTCAACAAAAACACTTAAACTTAATTCCAACAATCCTGGAAAATAAGTAAGTAAAGATCAATTTGTGAGTTTGAGTGAGTAGAGTAATATTGATCACTAAGAGTGATTTGACAATGTATAATCTTCTTCTTTCAATAATAATATTGTACAAAGACTCAAGATATATTTGCTCAAAGTTTTTTGTTTGTTAATGTATGAAAATGTGCATAAAACTTATGCATGAAAATGAAGAATGCTTGAGTTTGTATTTTGAAAGTTCAGAAAATATTTTTGAAAGAAGGTGTTAGATCTGGATTTGAAATTGAATATTTATATGTTCATAACACCCTTTTGAAACATCATGAAGATTTGGAAATGTATCATGAACAAATGCCAAGTTTGAGTGAAAAGATGTAATGAAAAGGCATGATGAAAAGGGATGAACAAAGCTGTTATTTTTCAAATTCGTGCAGTATGCAATTGATTGCACCCTTGGTGTAAATCGATTGCACAAGGTTTTTAACAACTATTTTTTCAAAATCTTTAAGAGTGCAATCGATTGCATTAACAATGTAATCGATTGCATGCAAAGTCAGTAGCAAAAATTAACTGAGTGCAATCGATTGCACTAACAATGTAATCGATTGCATGCAAAGTCAGTAGCAAACGTTTTGAAAAATTTAAGTATGCAATCGATTGCATAGGTAATGTAAATCGATTTCACAAAGAAACAGAAGCAAAAGATCTGAAATTTTGAAGTGTGCAATCGATTGCACTAAGATGTAAATCGATTGTATGCAGATGAAAAGTGAAATTTTATCTTTGAAAAGCTTGAGTAATGATTCTTAAACATTTATTTTTCATTTTTGAGCCTCTATATCTTAAGATCAAAGTAGATAATATTATTATACCTTTAAAGTTGTTGAGAGCTTTGAATGAAGATATTATCCTTAGATGCTTTGATGCTTGATCAAAATCTTTGCCTTTTTTGTTAGCCATGGTTTGTCTTCATCAAAACAAAAGCTTATTTGTGAAGCTTGATTTTACACATCATATGTTGCATGCCAAGCAGCATGGATCAAAATGCTACTTAAAGAACTCAGAATAATGGAATCGAAGATGAAGCTGTTTGTTGATAACAAGTCAGCTATAAATCTTACGAATCATCCTGTGTGTCATGGTCGAAGTAAGTATATTGAAAGAAGGTATCATTTTCTGAGGGATCAAGTCAACAAAGGGAAGCTTGAAATAAAATATTGCAAGACAGAAGTGCAACTAGCTGACATATTTACCAAACCTCTGAAGAAAGTGAGGTTCGAAGAGTTAAAGAAAGGCATCGGGATGAGAAGTCTTATAACATGAATTAGGAGGTGTGTTAGTTGGTTAATTCTTGTTATGTAGTTATTTGGACTTTTAATATGTATTTGGGTCTGAGCACTTTGCCTATATAAAATGTCATTATGTTTGTAATTAAAATGCTGCAATAATAATTCATTCAGTTAGAAAGTTAGTTACACTTAACTAACTAACTCAATTTCTCTCTCTTCTTCTTTTTCACAAAATCATCTTTCTTAAATCCTTTGTTTCAACATCAACGACTTAGTAATCGAAGAAAAATCAAAAGTCCCATCAATTTTACATAACATTTTAAAATGTAAATTCTAAAACATTTTAAGAATTAACATTTCAAGGAGTATCTATTGTATGTAAAATTTTAAATTTCTGATTCGAAGTTGAAACCCCCTCGAGAAATATCAAAAGCTTGATGTTAGTCGAAAGATACAATATACAAATACAACAATATACAAATACAACGATTAATGTCTTAAAGTAGTTGAAGAAAGTTATAGATTCAAAAACCTATCAAGTTGTCAAGAAAGAAAATTTAGAAAGAAGTTCGTGTGATAGTTTGATCAAAGCAGCTATTAACCACGTGACATCCATACAATGAAGAAGTTATATTTTATTTTTGTCAATATCTTAGACCGAAAACCATATAGGTTTGAGAATTTCATTTCTTATATCTAAGTCTGGACACACATGAATGTTAAATTTGTTAAAGAGAGTTTGCTGCTTATTATACTCTTATAAGACTGGAGAGATTAGACTCTGCAGTTGCGCACGAAAAACAATCTTAAAAAAAATTTATTTCCCATTTAAGATCTACACGCTAAAAAGATAACAATCTTAAATGATAAAATCAAGAATACACATATCTCCTAAATTATAACGTTTCTATATACGATTGTCTTGCTTTTTTACTTTAATGTATTTTACCACCTTTTAATTCTTGCAATACCTCTAATTCATTTTGAAAATATAAGCTATAGTTAAGTGATTTAAACGTTAGATACAGATTATACGGCATCTATCAAATTCAAGTGAAATTTTTATTGTCAACACATCCATGATACATCCTTAAGCCTATCAGATTATACCATGATTAGATATTCAAATTTAATTTATGGATTAGGTGATTATGTTGTTTTTTAAAATCTCCAAACAAATTCTATAAAACTGACTATACTCCTTTTGAAATTCTATAAAACCAACTATGCTTCTTTTCAAATCCTATAAAAATTGCAGTGAATGAATGGATTTAAAATTTAAATTCAAATAAATTTTCATAGAAATCGATATATGAACCCTACAAAATTCAGTTAGATTAGAATGCATAAAAAACCATCCCAATTTTATAGATTGGTTCGATCCAAATTAACCAGTTTATCAGATCACGCATTGCCTGCAATTGCAACGCTAAAATATGAACATTGTGGCACATAGATATAAAAATAAAACAGTAAAATTTATCTACGATTATAAATCCAGAAATATCGAAAGCAAAGCTATTATGAACTTCTGTACTCCAAATTAAAAACCAAATCATTATAATCAATCACTATAGTTGAGCACCAATGGTGTATTTAACAAAGACATGATATGAAACTGTCCAAAGTCCAAGCACATGAGTGAGTTTTTTGTTCTTACTTCTTTTTCTGAACCTGATTCTTGATCCATTTGAATCCAGCAGAGGTGCCACTCTTCACTTTCTGAGCACCTACCACAGCAGCTGACTTAGCTTTGTCGGCACCGACAATCGCAACTGTTTTGGCTTTGCCCATACTAACAGATGCCATAGCCTTTGCATCTGCCATCTTGCCACTTCCATTGCTTTTATTGTTCTTCTTCACCATCACATCATCTTCATACTCGTCGCTGCCAAGCCCGCCGTTTCCCCATTGGTCAGACCAACTTGGTGCCTTGCTACCCATGTTGTTTCTTCCAAAAACCTTCAGAAAAAATTCAATTTTTTTATTGATTCTATTCATTAATCAGATATTACACACATTGTTCTAAACTGCTGTCAGCAATTGTAGTTGTAGATTCAACATTAAGGTTCTAAAAAGGTGAGTCCGTGTCAGTGTCAGTGTCAATGTCGGTGTCTGAGATTGACACCAACATTTGTGATTACGTTCTAAAAAACTAATCGGATATTAAACACATTGTTACAGTCAGCAACTACAGTTAAACCTGCAATATAAATATGATTAACTACAAGGTTTTAAAGATTAACTACAACTGCGATTGCATCAGCCATTGCTATGACCTAAGGCCGTCTCTGAGTCCAATCCCGAGGCTAATAAAATATTATGCATATTGTTCTAAATTACAGTCAGCAACCACAATATAAGGTATTCGAGATTTATGCAACAACATCATAACTGCAATTGTGATTGCATCAGTCACAGTTATGACCCACAGTCAAAAAACTAGTCAATTAGATGAAAAGAACCTCATCTAAGTACCACATTGGGCGTCATCAACTTCAACTCATAATCACTGAAGCATGGAGACAGATACAGACACAGACACTGACACACCAGACGGAGTTGACACTGATAATAATTTTTTTTTTAAATGAATAAATGGTTTCAAAATTCCGCAATTTAAAACCATGACCATACACACGGATGATGATAATAATAAAAAACAAATAAAAAACCCAGAAACGCGTCTAGTCGGAGGCAGACAATAAAATCAATAAACAGTTCGAAAGTTCGGTGTTGATTACGACAGTGCACCAATATGAATATTCAATTCAATACAATTTTGAATATCAAAGAATTGAAGAAAAAAAAACAAAAAAAAAAATCAGGATCGAATAGATCTCTCAAGGAATTCAAACGAAAACTCAAATTGTTGAGTGAGATCTCTCAATGAATTGAAACCACCAAAAAGAGTTTATTGATTTTTCCTCATGGAGGTTACATGAAGAATAATAGATGATAGCAATTGAATCAATTACACAGAATTGCATGCATTCAAGTATTTTAGAACAGAGAAAATAGGGTTTTTTTGTTGTTGGTATTTTTAATAGAGAAACAGAGGAAGGAAGGTATGAAATTAGATTGAAGATATGAAATTAAGAAGAGAGAGATGGATTACCTTGAGAAATTGAAGAGAGAGGATGGAGATTGGAAGGAAGGAAGTGTAATGTGAGGAAGATGGTGGTGATGAAAAGAAGTTGAACAGTGCTAAAGTCAATACTTCATTTATACCCTATTTTTTTACTCTTTTACTTTTCCTTTTCCTTCTAGCTTTTTCATTCTTCACTTAAAAAATTTAATGATTGAGTATTTTTCAATCACATTAATTTCTTATTTATGTTTAACATAATTCTATAGTTTTTTCTATTGTAAAAATATTTTTTAATACTATTTATTATATTACTATTAATATTTTAAAAATCAGATTGAAAATAGAATCAACCGGACTTTTAGTTTAATATTCAATTAGTTTAATCAATTAAACTTGATTAAAATGTTTATTGAATAAATTATAATATTGATAAGTCATAATTATATCTCACGATTTTAATAAAGTTAACATTTTAAAAATCTACTAAGAGCATAATACAACAATATCAATAATAAATATAATTTTTTTTGAATCGATAAAAAATTGTATTAATTCAAAAACATGATACAAACACGGCGATTCCTCGGATCCAGCCCATAAAAACACTAAATCAATAAGAGATCACAATCTTATAACATCAAGCTAGCTATGTGACCTCTAAGTTGCCTATTATACCATTCCATACACACAATCATATCAATAATATTGGGGTCAATATTAAATGTATCAATATTATTCCCAAAACTCTTTCTATTCCTATAATTTCACATACCATAAATGGTGCCAATTTGAGTAATGCTTTCCTCTAATCTTTGTTTTTCCCCTTGTGGACCAGTCAGACTATCTCATCATCCCAACTTTCAGGCTCATGATGTGCTCTAATCCAATTGAGGATCTCTTTTCAAACCTTTTCATTGTTGCCAGCATCTGATTCCACCTACTTTGAACCTTTATAATAGTTTCTCTTTGGTTCAAAACAACCTTTATAATCCAGGAGCTATCCTTTTTAATGTTTTGATCCATCACAGTTCTGTTTTTGAAATAATAAGTGGACACCCATCGCACCCATAAGCTATCAGCTTTCCTGCAAATGTTCAAAAACAACTTCAGCATTGAAACTTGATTCTAAGTATTCAAGTAAATAACATTCAACTCTCCTTGCTTGATTGGTCTATAAACATTCTGCCAAGCAACTGGGCTCTTTATGCTGCTCTCCACTTCACCTGTCCACATGAAAATTCTACAAATGGTGTTAATTTTCTTGATCACAAATTGAGGTAAGGGGAGAATACATCTAATAATTTGCAATAGCAAAAGCCACACTTTTCAACAATTGTAATCTACTAGCATAACTGAGTAATTTTGTGCTCCAATTCCTCATCCTCTCAATAATTTTATCAATGAGATTTGTAACGCCTCGTTTTTCTTTAGTAACTATTTTAATTATTATTTATTTTATTATTAATTATTATTTGATATAGTAATTAATTAAATTGTGTGATTTTGTGAATATTTGAATTAATTGTTGTTCTGGACTGGGCCCGCCCTGGCCCAAAAGCAAAGACAAAGGCTTAATCCAAGCAGCTCCTCGAGGAGAGCGCGCCTGCGGATTCCCGCCAGCGCGCCCGACCACAGATCGCAGTTGTGCTCGCTGATGCCCGCGACACATGGCGTCCCCGACCACGGGAACTCCAGCTCGAGTACCCTCCTCGTAGGGCAGATTCTGATCGTTACCAAATCATCTGAACTCTGGAAAGACTGCGTCTTCGTCCCTCCTCATTTCTCGCAGAGCATCACCAGGAAGGGGGCCACGTGCGGGTCCCCACTACACACGTAGAACCTGACAGTTCCTTCATTGGGCCAATTCTGGTCGGCCCAATGAGGGGACCTTGGCCCCGCGCTGGGGGCTATAAATACCCTCTGCTCCTAGAGGGTCGGGTATTCATCTCTTACGCATACATACATTTTTTTGCCTGCTCATTCCGTCACTCATTTTAGCATCAGAGTGCCTTGCAGGTACCCCCCCATCTCACTCAATGTCCGCTCGGAGCCAGTCGTGACGATCCAAGTCTGATCAAATAAGATCAGTGGCGCCGTCTGTGGGAATCTAGCTTCCCCGTCTTGCAAAACCTCGAAGACCAAAGCTCAAAATCACCTCCTACCGTCATGGCTGACCAAGTTTGGGATGACCAAAACATCCGCGTCGTCGACACCAACAACGGCCTCGCAGATAAAAATGGAGTCCCCGACAACACCAGTAACCCCGGCCATAACACACTCCCCGGGGGCGCCATTCCCGGGCCCTCAGTCCACTGCGACGGAGCTACTGCCTCATCTTCTTCAGTCCCTCCGCCGCTCGAAGAAGACAATGCAGCTCCCACAAACTATCGAGCTGCCCAATTTCAGGAAGTCCATGTCCCCGCCGGGGAAGATGCCACAACCCGCACACTATTCACGGCGATCAATCAGACGAATTACCTCATCTTTTGCCCAGGGGGAAAGATTGAGGGCACTAGAAGACGATAGAAGACCCGCGAGGAGACATAGGAGGCCCCAGACCCCACCTCCTCGAGTAACAGAGGTACATCTCCCGTCTCCCTCGCGGAGACAATACAGAGACACCTCGCGAAGCCCGTCGCCCCGACCCTCGGGGAGACGACCCCCGTTGGAGAGGCAACCCATCATCGAGGCTAGAGGGTGCAACCATGGCCCCGTACGGCAAGAAAGAAGACACTCCGGGGACAGGCACGGAAGAATTGACAAACGATCACCACACTCGAGGGATGCCCAGCACGACCAGGATCGTCGGGCACGACAATATTTCAGGTCCCCATCCCTGTCCCCGGAGAGAAGTGACGAGGACGACCCCCGCGGTCCCCTGTCACAAGCCATCATGGAGGTGCCCATTCCCCCGGGCATGGAGAAGCCTCCACATCTGAAGGAATATGACGGAGTCGCGGACCCAGTCGGCCACATAGACGGGTTCGAGGCTATGCTGCACTACCACAACATCGGGGAACCCATCAAATGCCAGTTGTTCCCCACGACCCTCATAAAGGCAGCAATGGATTGGTATAAAGGCCTCGCTCCGGGATCAATCAGCTTGTGGCAAAACCTGAAGAACCAATTCATAAGTTTGTTCACTGCGTCTCGGCGACACCCAATGACCGAGGCAGCACTCGAGGCCATCATCCAGAGACAGGATGAAACCTTGAGAGAGTTTATTAATCGCTTCAATCGCGAAGCCATACAGGTCCCCTGCGCGGACCACATGAAGAGGTGCTTGCTGGAGAGGGGGCTCCTCCCCGGCACAGAATTCAGAAAGGCAGTGGGCATCGAGCCGCCCCGAACATTCAATGCCCTCCTCGAGAAGGCCTGGGCATATATGGATTACGAGGAAAGGGAGGCGGCCAACAGAGCCCGGGACCCCAGAACTTGCGGATCCAACAGCAACCTGCGCCAGGAAGCCGCTCCTCCTCGATGAACCGGGGAGAAAAGAAAAGAGGACAGACCCCGAGAAGTCTGGGAGCAAAGAGGACCCTCGGGGCGGTTTACCGAATACACTCTGCTCACAGCTTATCGTGAGCGCATTTTGGCGGAGTGTGCCAGCACGGACTTTAAAGACGGCAACGTCAAACGCCCTCGACCTTCTCCTGCCAAGCCCGGAGTAGATAAAAGCAAGTACTGTCAGTACCATAGGAGCCATGGTCATCTGACTAAAGACTGCGTCCACCTCAAGGACGCCATCAAAACCCTGATCAAGGGAGGGAGACTCGCCCAATACTGGCGAAACGACGCTCCTCGTCGTGATGCCCGAGAGACAAGAGAACCGGAGGAATACGCCCAACCATCTGACGAGTCGGCCCCCGTCCAGACCGCCTTCTCCGTCACCAGACTCGAGGACTTCTACGTCCCCGAACACCTGCAGGAGCCGCTCACGACACACAGCAGGTGGGAATACTTTCCCTCCGCCATGGTCATCAACGGTGGAGGATTCAACGACCTAACTATCAATTCGGCCAAGAGAAAGCTGGATGAGTTGGTCGACTCGGCACCTCTGAAAACAATGACCTTTGAGAGGGTAAAAGGTAGGTCGGAGCCTATCACCTTTTACCTAGAAGAGCTCCCCAGAGGAGCCCCCAATGCAGTCATTCCCCTGCTGATAAGAGCAAGAATGGCTAACTTTGACGTGCACCGCATCCTCGTCGACGAAGGAAGTTTCGTCGATGTAATGTACAGTCAATTGTTCCGGACTCTGCAGCTGGACGACTCGCATCTCTCGCCGTATGTAGGGTCGGACTTACAGGGCTTCAATGGCTCGACCTCCAAGCCTTGGGGATATGTCGAGCCCATGGTTACCTTCGGCGAGGGCACGGCGACGAGGCAAGTTAAGGTACACTTCCTCGTCATCGACTGCCCGTCCCTCTACAACTGCATCCTGGGGAGACCAACACTGGCAGAACTGACCGCAGTTCCCTCCACCGTCCACTTGAAGATGAAGTTCTACACCAAGAGGGCACGGGTGGCTACCATCCAGGGGGACCTAGCCGCTGCTCAAAGGTGTTTCAACGCCGCATCTAAAGGACGTGACACTGTCGATACCGAGACAAGGGCCACCAAGAGACTGGCAACAACACGACAGGAGCCCGACAAATCAGAGCCCGCCAAGGTACAAGACCAGAGAGCTCCCCCAAATGTCGACTCCATAGCTCTGGATACTCGCTTCGATCAGGACGAACCTCCCAACGGCGAGCAAATCCCCCTCCGACCAATCCTGGACGGGGACTTTGAGCTCGTCCCCCTCGGTGCAGACCCAAGCAAAGGAGTGAAGATTGGCACCGACCTCCCCGACCTGGCAAGGAAGCAGATCAAAGTCTGCTTGCGCGAGAATGCTGACTTATTCGCCTGGAGCGCCGCGGAAATGCCCGGACTCGACCCCGAGGTCGCCTGTCACCGTCTCGCCATAGATCCCACCGCTAAGGCAGTAGTACAACGTAGGCGTAGGCAGTCTCCGGAGAAAACGGAGGCTGCTGAAAAAGCTATAAAAGACCTCCTAGAGGAAAATTTTATTTCTGAAGCCTGGTATTCAACCTAGCTGTCAAACATTGTACTAGTTAAAAAGAATAATGGAAAATGGCGGATGTGTGTTGATTATACCGATCTCAATCGAGCATGCCCGAAGGATGCTTTCCCTTTACCAAACATAGATATGATGGTCGACAACTCGGCCGGCTACAAGACATTGTCGTTCATGGATGCCTATTCAGGCTATAACCAAATCCCAATGGCCATGGGCGACAAACATTGCACTGCCTTCATGACCAGCTCGGGCAATTATTACTACAACGTAATGCCCTTTGGACTAAAGAACGCAGGGGCAACTTACCAACGTATGATGAACAGGGTGTTCTGCAAGCAAATCAGAGACATGCTTGAGGTCTACATGGACGACATGATCGTCAAATCCCGAGCATACACCAATCATGCAGCACACCTCAAGGCAGTCTTCGCCTAAGCGAGACAATGTAAGATGAGATTCAACCCCGAAAAATGCACGTTCGGAGTCAAGGCGGGGAAATTCCTCGGGTTCTACCTGACAGAACGAGGAACTAAAGCCAATCCCGACAAATGTCGAGCATTCTCCGACCTCCCGACGCTGACGTTGAAGAAATCAATACAAGTCATGAATGGCATGTTCACGTCATTGTCCCGCTTCGTCGCAAGATCCGCTCAGCATGCCCTCCCCTTCTTCAGACTCTTTCGCAAAGAAGCAGCCTTCGAATGGACCGAGGAATGTGAACGGGCACTGCGCCACCTAAAACAAAGTCTATCCCAACCACTCGTGTTTTCTCGACCAGTCGACGGGGAGCCTCTATTCCTATACTCGGCCGTCTCGAACGAGGCCATCAGCGCGGCTCTCATTCGCGAGACCACTGATGGGCAGAAGCCCGTTTATTTCACGAGCAAAGACCTACAAGGACCTGAGAGCAGATACCAACAGATAGAAAAAGTATCCCTAGCCC